CTCTCTCTCTCTCTCTCTCTCTCTCTCTCTCTCTCTCTCTCTCTCTCTCTCTCTCTCTCTCTCTCTCTCTCTCTCTCTCTCTCTCTCATTTAGACTTTCTCTCTCTCTCTCTCCCTCTTAGACTCTCTCTCTCTCCCCCATTCTACAGGCGCGCGTGTTGATGTTTCAGGTCGAGACCTCGCGTGACAACCCGACAGTGAAATATAAGCCATGACCAAGTTCATGACCAAGTTCACCAAGACCATGTCCATCGATTCGGAAGAAGGGTCCACGTCCGCTGATGAGGACTCTGTTGTCGCCGACGGAGCGACAGCGCATGAGCAATGGGCACCGGTCAGCAGAGACGAAGTATTCCTCTCAGTAGCCGGACCCAATGGGAGTGAGCAGGTGTCCAGTGGGGGTGGACAGATGACCATCGGATGTGGAGGGGTGACAAGCGGGAGTGGACAGCCGGATATGACACATCCCGCCACGACACAGTCAGCCACGACACAGTCAGCCACGACACAGTCAGCCACGACACAGTCAGCCACGACACAGTCAGCCACGATACAGCCCGCCACGACACAGCCCGTCACGACACAGTCAGCCACGATACAGCCCGCCACGACACAGCAGGACACGACACAGCCCGTCACGACACAGCGCGCCATGACACAGCCGGACACGTTGAGCGCGGCCGCGCGTCGTGGCGACGTCGTCACCGTCGTCTCCCTCCTCGCGTCGGGCGCCGACCCGGACTGCCGCGACGACGACGGATTCCCCGTGCTCGTGCGCGCCGCCGCCGCCGGCCACGACGATGTCGTCCGTGCGCTCCTCGCCGGAGGCGCCACCGTCGACAGCGCCGCCGACAACAACGACACGCCGCTGATCGCCGCAGCGACGGAGCGTCGGCGCGGCGTCGTCGCGCTGCTGCTAGCCGCCGGCGCCGACCCGGACGCGATGGCGGGCGTCTGCGACACGGCGCTCATGATGGCGGCGCGGCACGGCGACGCGGCGACGCTCGACGCGCTCATCGCCGCCGACGCCGACGTCAACGTCGCCTGCAACGAGCGCTGGACGCCGCTGATGGAGGCGGCGTGCTCGGGTCACGCGGAGGTCGCGCGGCGCCTGCTCGCGCTCGGAGCGCGCGTGAACGCGCGCGGCTGCGACGGCAAGACGTCACTGCTGCTGGCGGCGCGCGAGGGACACGCCGACGTCGCGGCGACGCTCGTCGCCGCGCACGCGCACGTCAACGTCGCCACGGACGTCGGCAACACGGCGCTGATCCTCGCCGCCGCCGCCGGCGAGGAGCACATGGTGCGGCGCCTCCTGGCGGCCGGCGCGGCGGCCGACGCGCGCAACACGAAGGGACTGACGGCGCTCGGCGCGGCGGCGAGCGAGGCGCCGCGTGGCGGCGGAGCCGAGGCGACGCGCGCGGCCGCGGAGTGCGCGCGCTCGCTTGCAGGGGGCGCCCGACGTCGACGTCCTGGGTAGTGCGCCGCTCGTACTGCGCCGCGCGCGGTGTTCGTCTTCGGGGCTGGTCACTCTTTGGTCACGGCTGAGGTCATTCTCCGACCTCATCACGCCGCTCTTGGCGCCGACGTGAACTCGCGCGCCGCCGCCGTTCCGGCGAGACGGCTCGACCGTCGCCGCTCGGCGGCTGACGGCGCTGGCCACGCCGACGTTTAGTGATCGCTTCTTGCTTTCCTTTGTCCGCTCGGCGCCTCGCTGGAAACGAATGCGCGACTCCGCCGGGCTGTCTACTGGCTCCTTGCGCACGCCCGCGCGCCGCCAAGTCACGCGGGAAAGGTCTCTCGCTGCGCTTGCGCCGACTCGGAGCCGACCTTGACCTCGTTCGGGATTCCCCGTCCTTGCCGCACACCGCTTCATCTCCGCGTCGAGGCGGATCGCCTTCGTTGGCAGACGTCGCTCGGCACGTGCCTCATCGACTGCGGCTGGTGCCGACGTCACGGCCGTCGGTGCGTTCACATGCGTTTCTTGCGCCGGACGCACCGCCCTTCACGTCGCCGCCGCAGTACGGGCAGCCCCGGGTCGCCTGCTGCGTCTGCTGCGTGCGTCTACTTTTTCATGCGCCGCGGCCCGACGCCGCCGCCGGACGCGAGACGCCCTGCTGATCACCGTCGCGTGCGTCGCGGGCACCACGCCCGGCACAACAAAGCGCGCACGTACCAGCGCGTGTACGGCGCGCTGGTGGCGCTACTATCGTGCTGGCTCGCGCGCACGGCGGCGCACGCGTGCGTCATGCGCGGGTCGCTGGAGGGGCTGCGGGAGGAGGCGCGGCGGGACGCGGGCGCGCTGCGGCGCCGCGACGGCCACGGCAACACGTGCGTCGCCATCGCGGCGTACTACGAGCAGCGCGACATCCTCGCCTACCTCCTCTCCTCGTCGTCGTCATCCTCCTCCTCCTGCGACGCCTCCTCAGACCCCGCCACCGCCTCCGCCTCTTCTGACGCCTCCTCCGCCTCCTCATCTTCCTCCCCCCTCCTCCCCTCCTCCGACGTGAATTCCTGCAACGCCGACGGACGCACGCCACTCCACCTGGCGGCGCTCACCGGAGTCGACGAGATCGTCGGCGACCTGCTGGCGGCGGGCGCGCGGGCCGACGCGCGCGACAAGCGCGGGCTGACGCCGATCCACCTGGCGGCGGAATACTGCGAGATCGCCGACGCCGTCCTCGACGCGCTGCCGCTCGCCGTCGTCACGGCGACCGACTGCGCGGGAAACACGCCCCTGGCGCTGGCGCGGCGTGCGGGACGCGACGACGCGTGGTTGCGGAGGTTCGCCGATGCCGTCGCGAGGAAAGGTGGCGCCGCCGTGCCACCCGACGCCTTCGCTTCGACCCCGCCCACAACCCCGCCCGTGACCCCGCCCACGACCCCACCCGTGATCCCGCCCGTGACCTTTCCCACGACGCCGCCTGTGACCTTTCTCACGACCCCGCCTGTGACCTTTCTCACGATCCCGCCTGCGACCTCTCCCACGACCCCAACCGTGACCACTCCCACGACAACGCAGCCGAAGCTACGGCCGACCTTGCGCTTAAAACTACCAGAAACCTTTCTCACGACCGGTGCTGTGACCCCACCGCTGACCCCACCCCCGACCTTTACCACGACCCCTGGCGGCAGCGACGGCGGCGCGTCGCTGGCGCTGCTGGAGCGTGTGGCGGCGATGCCTGGCGTGGGCTGCCTCCCAGGGGGCGCCGCTCGCTGCCGCGCCGCACTGACCTCCCTCGCGGAGGCGCTGTGCGCTCGCCTCGGCGCCGTCGACCCGCGCTTCCGCTGCCGCCCGCTCCGCGTCGGATCGACCTTCTCCGGGGTCAAGGTCGGCGATCTCGACGAGTGCGACTTCCTCTGCGAGCTCGTCGAACTCGGCCGCCAGGCGGCGCCGGCGGTCGCCGCGGGAGGCGGCGGCGAGACGCGCGTGCGGCTGCGCGAGGGCGCGGGGGACGAGTGGCGCCGCCTGGCGGACGCCGACGGCTACGTCGGCAACGCGCTGCGCGACACGTTCCGCTGCGTGCTCTGCGAGGCGCTGGCGACGCTCGAGTTTCAACACAAGAGCATCTACTACCACCTCTCCGGCGTCGAGCCGTGCATCCTCTGGAACCGCGTCTGCACAACGGTCAACGTACTGTGGATGGAAGACAACGGCCGCGGCCGCGAGGTGGCGCTCGACTTCACGCCCGCGGTACGATGCCCCCCCGCGATGGACCACTCCCCGGCGACGGGTCGGCCCCCCGCGATGGACCACCCCCCGGCGATGGACCACCCCCCGGCGACGGACTTCCCCCCGGCGACGGATCAGCCACTCACGACGGACTTCCCCCCCGCCGCTGCCGCCGCCGCCGCCGCCTCGGTCGTCTGCCACGTCATCCCGAAGCAGCCGGCGTCGAGCGCGTCTCGCCTCGCGTGGACGCTCACGACGTCCGTCGCCGGCCGCGACGCCATCCTCGCGCTCTCGCCCGAGCACCGGCGGGGATGCGTCGTCGTCAAGCCCGCGCCTGAGTGCGCGCGAGCGGCTGCACGGGCGGCGGCAAGCTGCGGCGGGCGTGCGCTGCAGCGCAGACGAACGTGGCACGGCACGCGCGCGGGGCGAGCTCATTACGGCCAACAACCCTCGTCGTCGTGCGCGACCCGAAGACGCTCGTTTCGACCTACCTAAGCCTCGTCAAGAGTCGCTTCCTCCGCGAGCTCGCCGGCGCCCGGCCTGGCTGGAGGACTTGGCGCGGAGCGGGCCTCGCGGCACGCGTCGTCGCCGTGCCTGGCGGCGGCGTCGCGGCCGGCGTGCGATCGCCGGGCGGATGCCGCACGCGTGCTAGAGGGCGTCGACGTGGCTGCTTGGCGTTTAGGTGCGGAGGAAGAGGCTGCAGACGGAGGCGGGCGCGTACCCGCTGTGCTGGGCGTCGGCGCGCTGCGCCAGCGCCCTCGCCGACATGGTGGAGCGCGGGGAGGCGCCGAGCGAGGAAGGGATGGAGCTCTACCTGTACCCGTACCCAGAGCAGAAGACCTGAGAGCTGCCGCCTCGGGATAGGAGGAGAGAGGAAGATAGAGAAGAAAACAGGATGATAGCTGTTGCCTCGGGATAGGAGGAGAGAGGAAGATAGAGAAGAAAACAGGATGATAGCTGTTGCCTCGGGATAGGAGGAGAGGAAGATAGAGAAGAAAACAGGATGATAGCTGCTGCCATACTGTCACAGAGTGTGGGCGTGGGAGAAGTACTGAAAGCGGACAGGAAGATTAGAGATTAGAGAGGAAGACAAGGCTTAATTGCTTGAGATTTCCTGAGAGCTGCTGACTACATCACGGAGAGTGGACGTCGGAGGTAGGAGGAGCGGAATATAGAGAGGACAGGAAGACAGGAGGGTAGGAAGACAGGATGGAGACAAGGCTAGATTGCTGTGATTTCCACATGGCCAGGTGATCTAAGGTAGGGAGGAAGACAAGGCATGATTGCTTGAGATTGATTTGATTGCTGCAGATTGATTGATTGATTGATTGATTGCCGATGACAGATTACTGCTGACGATTGATCTTGATTTCCACATGGCCAGATGATGTAAGATAGAGAGGAAGATATGATACCTGTAAGATGTATGTATAGGGCAGATATGATTGCTGCTGACCCATTTAAGGAGTGATGATGTGGGATGGAAGGAAGATAGAAAGGAATACAAAACGTGATTGTTGCCGACTCTATCACTCACTATCTATCACTCTAACACAATACATGATTGCTGTTGATTCGTTCGTGGATTGGCAGTGTAATGTGCAGATTAAGACAAGGCACGATTCATGTTGATACCTTCATGGACTGATTACGTAAGAAAGAGAAGAAGACGAGAAAGATGGTTTATTCCTGTTGATCCCATCGTGGACAATTGAAGTAGGATACAGTGGTCTCATTATGCTAGAGACAGTGGTGCCATCTATAGTCACATTTCTGTGCCAACGATAGCAACTCGTATAGCAATGTATTTCCATTAGTAATTGAGCCCTCAGGTGTTAGTTACTATCACGGACTGGGTCTCCAGGGGACCACGAAGCCTGTCAGTTGAGCTTGTAAACACTCTAGGATTCAACCTAACGAAATTCTTGTGACTGCCAACGTATTTCCATGGCCTACGTCTACGATCTGCGAGTATCGTACCTAATATGATATAAGGCGTGAATAATAATAGTATAATATATAATAATATAATATAATAATATAATAATAATAATATTCTATTACTAGTATTATTCACTCCTGATGATATGTATTATACCGGGAGTGAAATAAAAAACAAAGTTTCTTTCTCATTCGCTCTTCATTATATTTATATGAATATGTACACCTAATGTGTGTTTAATTCTCGTCTCTGTTTGTGCTTACATTAACTCTAAACCGAATTAGTGGGAACCTGATTAAGCATCTACCATGTCTGTTGCCTAATATCCTCTTCTAATATATTCATTTGTCTCACTTCATACGATCACGAACATTTCACGACGATATAATCTGTTAAAAATTTAATTATGCCAATCAACTACTCTACTAGCTAACCTACAGCTATGTCTGTACTCTCTACTCTAAATATCTATTGCCCAGTACTGTACCTTTATTACGAGACAAGAAATAAAATCCTTATGTGACAGGCGGTGCAGTATTATTCATGTAATGACACAAATAATGGCCTCATTCTCATGCAGAGGTGGACTAGAGCGCATTCAGCGCGGCCATATTTAAAATACATTTACGTTTCAGTTTAAAATAAATAGCATTATATATACCGCCTGTAGTTCATTATTCATAGCATGCTCGCGTAAACAGAATAAAACTATTTTCGTCTCTAAGAAACGAATATGTACACTCAAATTAACTGTAATCCGATAAACATACTTAATATGCAACTACTACGACTAAAAGAAACACGGGTGCATTCGCACACAGTACAGACTGACCCTAAGAGGGAGGGAGAGAGGGGGAGAGAGAGGAGGGAGCGGGAGAGGGAGAGCGAGCACAAGAAAGGGGGAGATAAACTGAGAGACATATGCAAGTTCAGGCTTGCTTCAACAGGTGGCAGCACACACTTGAATCACCACTTGAATGGTCACAAGGTGACTGTACACTGTGTGGATAATATAAAACATAACACACTACCTATATATCTATACAGGATCAGTCCATAGATTCTAAGGTAACACCAGCTAATCGGTGGGATCACGCAGAATGTTCGGCGAAATACTGAGTGGCTATGGGATATCATCTGACTCAGGGTTAAAAGATGAACATTTTTGCCAGGCAACAGTTACTTTCTGCCAAAGAAAAACAAATAAAGCAAATTTACTCACCCACGCAGAATCTTCGGTGCTTTTTCTACGGTTTATTAGAAATTTCTTGGCAGCAAATAATATGTTGTGAGCAGGCAGTAAACTGACCCCTGTAGGCAGCAAAACTGATGCTTGCTTTTGCTGCCCTTAATTTCAAACCCTCTAAACCGAACCCTTGTAGGCAGCAAAACTGCTGCTTGCCGCCCCTTAATTTCAAACCCTCTAAACCGAACCCTTGTAGGCAGCAAAACTGCCGCTTGCCGCCCCTTAATTTCAAACGCTGTAAACCGAACCCTTGTAGGCAGCAAAACTGCTGCTTGCGCCCCTTAATTTCAAACCCTCTAAACCAAACCCTTGTAGGCAGCAAAACTGCTGCTTGCCGCCCCTTAATTTCAAACCCTCTAAACCGAACCCTTGTAGGCAGCAAAACTGCTGCTTGCCGCCCCTTAATTTCAAACCCTCTAAACCGAACCCTTGTAGGCAGCAAAACTGCTGCTTGCCGCCCCTTAATTTCAAACCCTCTAAACCGAACCCTTGTAGGCAGCAAAAC